GGTACTGGCACAAGAACAGAGCCACAGACCAGTGAAACAGAATAGAGACCCCAGATATTAACCCAAACAAATATGGTCAATTAATAGACGATAAAGGATCCATGGACATACAATGTGGAAATGACAGTCTCTTCAACAGATGGTATTGGCAAAACTGGACAGCTACATGTAAGAGAATGAAACTGGATCAGTCTAACTCCATACACAAAAGTAAATTCAAAACGGATCAAAGACCTGAATGTAAGTCATGAAGCCATAAAACTCCTAGAAAAAAATATAGGCAAAAATCTCTTGGACATAAACATGAGCGACTTCTTCATGAACATATCTGCCTGGGCAAGGAAAACAAAAGCAAAAATGAACAAATGGGACTATACCAAGCTGAAAAGCTTCTGTACAGCAAAGGACACCATCAACAGAACAAAAAGGTACCCTACAGTATGGGAGAATATATTCATAAATGACAGATCTGATAAAGGGTTGACATCCAAAATATATAAAGAGCTCATGCACCTCAACAAACAAAAAGCAAATAATCCAATTAAAAATGGGCAGAGGAGACAAAGAAGAAATTCAGATGGCCAACAGACACCTGAACAGATGTTCCACGTGGCTAGTCATCAGAGAAACGCAAATTAAAACCACAATGAGATATCACCTCACACCAGTAAGGATCACCACCACCCAAAAGACAAACAACAACAAATGTTGGCAAGGTTGTAGAGAAAGGGGAACCCTCCTACACTGCTGGTGGGAGTGTAAATTAGTTCAACCATTGTGGAAAGCAGTCTGGAGGTTCCTCAAAAAGCTCAAAATAGACATACCATTTGACACAGGAATTCCACTTCAAGGAATTTACCCTAAGAATGCAGCAGCCCAGTTTGAAAAAGACAGATGCACCCCTATGTTTATCGCAGCACTATTTACAATAGCCAAGAAATGGAAGCAACCTAAATGTCCATTAGTGGATGAATGGATAAAGCAGATGTGGTACATATACACAATGGAATATTATTCAGCCATAAGAAGAAAACAAATCCTACCATTTGCAACGACATGGATGGAGCTAGAGGGTATTATGCTCAGTGAAATAAGCCAGGCAGAGAAGGACAAGTACCAAATGATTTCACTCATCTGTGGAGTACAAGAACAAAGAAAAACTGAAGGAGCAAAACACCAAGCAGCAGACTCACAGAACCCAAGAATGGACTAACAGTTACCAAAGAGAAAGGGACTAGGGAGGATGGGTGCGAAGGGAGGGATAAGGGTGGGGAAAAAGAAAGAGGGCATTACGATTAGCATGTATAATGTAGCAGGGGGGGCATGGGGAGGGCTGTGCAACACAGTGAAGACAAGCAGTGATTCTACAGCATCTTACTGCACTGATGGACAGTGACTGTAATTGGGTGTGTGTGTGTGGGACTTGATGGAGGGGGCAGCCTAGTAAACATAATGTTCTTCATGTAATTGGAGATTAATGATAACAACAGCAAAAAAAAAAAAAATACGTAAGGACAGACATATAGAGCAGTGAAATTCAATAGAGCGCTGTCTTGCCAAGGAGTTCCAGCCCTGGGCAAGTTCAGTACAGATTCAGGGAGACCAAGGAATAACAATGGAACGTGTTTGGGGTAAAAGGGTTTATTACCCAGCTTTGTTCTCCCTGCCATAGGTTGAGCACTAGAATTACGTCTGTATCCAACAGTCTGCAGGTCTGTAATCCTCCTTTGTCTCTGCCTCCACCCAGAGTACTTGGCAGAGTTCCTTGTATAGTGACTCAGTCAATAATAGCTTATTGCCCATGGCTGTGGAAGCAGTAGCCTAGCAGTAGGTCAATTACATCATCAAGTAGTTTAGATTCAGGTTGAGATCTTGGCCATAGGGACTTCAATTTTTCCCACAGCACCTAAAAATAAACCCTCATGTATATATAGTCAAATGATTTTTGACATGGGTGCCAAGACTATTCAATGGAGAAAGGATAGTCATTTTAGTAATTTTTAAGTTAACGGCATTATTTATAATAGCTCAATGGCAGTAATTACATTCACAATGTTGTATAACCAAAGAAAAGCCTTCACCCTGATGACTTCATTGGTGAATTTTATCAAACATTTAAAGAATAAACACCAATTCTTCTCAAACTCTTCCAAACAACTTAAGAGGGCACACTTCACAATTCACTCTTTAACATCTGCACCGCCTGATACCAAAGCCAGACAGACACTCTAGGAAAACTAGAAACCAGTATCTTTTATGAAAATTGATTTAAATATTCTAGCAAACCAACTTCAGCAGCAAATTAAAAGGATTAAACACTATAATCAAGTGGGATTTATTCCTAAAATGCAAGGATGGTTCAAAATACAATACAAAAATCAATCAATATACCATGTTTACAAAAAGAAGGAAAAAACCCCACATGATCATCTCAATTAGGGCAGGAAAAAAACATGACAAAATTTAACATCTTTTGATATAAAAACACTCAACAAATTAGAAATAAAAGGACACTAGTGCAGCACAATTAAGGCCATATATGAAAATCCCACAGCGAACATCATATTCAATCTGAAAGACTGAAAGCTTTACTTTAAGATCAACAACAAAGTAAGAATGCCAACTCCAACCTTTGTCACTTCTGTTCAAGTATATTGGAAATTTTAGCCAGAGCAAGTATGCAAAAAATAGAAATAAAAGGCATGCAGATTAGAAAGGAAGAAGTAAAACTGTTTTCAGACGACATGATTACAGATGTAGAAAACCCTAAAGACTCCACAAAATAATTGTTACAATAAATAAATTCAATAAAGTAGCAGACAAAACTACTTTTAAACACAACCTCTACTGCACACTTTTCCTCTTGATTTTTGCCAAATTTCAGGCATACAGCTCTACAGTTTTTTATTTATTTCTGTATCCTACACAAGACTTATCTTATTGCTAGCCCAATAAATATTTTCTGATTGAACAATACATTCTTGAAAGGCAATGAAAAAGCCATGTATTCACGAATGCTCTTTCATTGCCTGTACTAAGTAACTAAATATTACACTGAACCCATTCTACAGGCTTCTAATGATTCTGCTAAGATTATGAATTGAGATATTAAAGATCAAAGAATTAACTGTATTTCTATTTTATTTCCCAAGACCTACAAATAACATAATAATTCCAAATAGCTATCTTCTTTTATTACCTGGCTATCAAGATGAAGCCAGTCACTTTTTACTGTGCATTTTCCCTTTATAAATGTTAGTTAGCCAACACCTAATCCAATATACTAGTACACTCTAATTTCTGTCATACTTGTATTAACCTCTTAATGAAATTTTTAGTAATTAGCTCTGGAAACTACTTTCTCCCAGATTCCAGATTTTATTCATAAACTACCACTTTAAAAAAAAAATCCAACATAGTACAAAATGTGATTCTCAGTAAGAATGTTTAAGAATCTCCTAAAGGGCTTTTCAAACCAAACATGCTATGGAAGCCCACCTCTTTGATAATCAGTGCCTTACTGAGCTACTTGATAGTGGCAACACCGAAAGAGAGGCATCTTAGCCCTCAAATATACCGGAGGGGGACAAATTTAAAAACTAATTGTAACTAAAATTAAATGTAAAACACATGTTCTTAAATGTTCAGTCACCAATGAGTAAGCTATTTTTTTCTACTTACCTGCTATTCAAATTTAGCACCAATTAATGTTGAACTCATTCTAAAATCAAATGTGGGGCTCTGATTTGGAATATACTAACAAATATTAAAAGGTATTTAAGTTTGATTGTAGTATAATACACCATTGTAAAACAAAATGAGGGTTGATAAAAGCCTTAAACAAGCATTTCATGAATTCCATGGATTCCGGTTTGTGCTAATAGATATAGGAATACTTAATGCCAAGGAAGGTACAATGGTTAGGTTATTGATGTTGCTAAAGAAACTATTCTTCTTACCTGCTGAACAGCTAGTGTGCTGTCCATTTCATCAAAGGATTCATCAGGCCAATTATAGAAATCCTATAAAAAAAAACAGTTCATGGGTTAAAGCTTTTCTAGGAAACAGAGTTACAAAGATGTGATACTATTATGATTAACTTCAATTCTTAATAAAGCAAAGTTACACTAGAGGAGAAGAAAAGCCCTTATTTTGTGAACATACAGTGAGTAAATTAGAGGAATTTTATTCAGTGTTTTTAAATGAACACCAAGATTTTATTTAGTTGAACTATGAGCTACATTTTTTCAATCACAAATCCCTCAAATATGGCTCCCATAAACTTTTCATGTATTACTAATTGAGGAGGCAAGTCTATCATGTATTTTTTTATGCTGATTAAATACCTCTCAAAAAGTTACACTGAAAAAAAATCTCCGGGCACCAAAAAACCAAGTCAGTTTTTACCTAAAGAGAATAGTGAATGTTAGTGTTAGTAGTAGTAGTAGTAACTGCTCCGTAAGTACTATTTTAGACAGACATTAGAAAGTAATACTATTCCAATTCAAATGCTATTTTACATTTCTACATCAAAATATGAGCTCCACCAAAAAATAGTCATCCAAATGGAACAGACTTCCTTTAAGACGGATATTTTTGTGGATCACCTTGCATTTATTATGAATTCCTCTATAAAGTCCAGTTCATAGTCCTGTAAGTGATTAAGAACATTACCAATTGACTGATGTTTCAGCAAAGTTTACGTATGTATTCTTTGCAGATAGCACTATGTCTGACACATAGCAGGTGTTCAATAATTATTTCTGGTGTAAAACCGGGGGTGGGGGGTGGGGGGTGGCGGGAGGGAGTAGAAGTAAATCACTGAAATGTAACCCTGCAACAATCAACATGGATAAGTCTCCAAATACCCTGAACAAAAATGGGAGCAAACTGGAGAATACAGTGTATAAAAGTAAGGAATAAAAGTAAGAAAGTATAAAGCATACTTATGGATATAATGCATAAATAGTAAAAGTATAAAGAAAAGGAAAGGAATGATGACTATATGCTGGAAGGACTGGGTAGTAGAAGAATCTGATACACAGTGATTAAGCTATATTAATAATGTCTTAGTTCTTAGGATAAGTGATGGGTATATATTTTAAATGTCTTAAACATTTCATATTTTTTCTGTTTACAGTTGACCTATCTGAATGGAAATGACTTTATTTTAAAATGTCAAGAACTATAGACAACTTTTTGGAAATTGTTTCATGATCTAAATATTATTAGTTTTAAAATTCTTTCTATATGATTTATGCTGCAAAATATTTCTATCACTAATTTTGCCTACGCTTTCTTTTAAAAAAATAGTTTGTAGAATATTTTGTTTTTAAAACATTAAAAAACACATATAGTAATATATAGGAAAAATGCAAAAAAAGTTGATTGGGAATTAAATGTTTGCACCATAACTGTAATATAAACAGAAGAGGAACCAAAAACTTGGCTTAATGAACATTCTCATCTAATTCAGCCAATAAACATTTATTGAAAGCCAACTATGTGCCTATACCCCATCTAACAAATTTTAAAAAAGAAAATAAGAAGGAAGATATTCTACCTATTCTATCATAGTTCTAAATAAATCATTTTAGAATAGACCCATTTTACTTAAGGAAATTAGTCTGATAGATAAGGGATAGGACAGAAAGCTGCTTATACAGTCATTTTGTTAACTCTAACCTGTTGTTATATTTTTTTTAACAACCCTGATCTATGACAAGGTGAAATAAAGCAAAGGAGCGTTCTTAATGTGTGACTTACTCATAACACAGCAAATAGATGTGTCATAAAGTTAACTTAAAATTTATTATTTTCTAACCTTTCAAGATAACGTTTGAGTAAATAAAAATGCATGACAATTCTCAGAATGTGAATACAAAATAATCTTCTTCTGAATATAAAAATACAAAATGTTCACTTCAGAATTAGAAACAATCTTTCCACAGAATAAGGTACCTGATGAGAGAATAAAGCTTGGAAAAGGTAGTAAGCAAGCATAAATAATACATAAATTGCCTACTAACCTTGAGCAAAGGCAGTCGATTCCCTGGGGCTTCAGTTTCCTACTTTGTAACATGGATATGGGAAGGTGTCTAGATCTAAAATATCCTTTTGAAAGGACTCCCTTTCCAAACTTCTGAGCAAGACCATTAAAATCTATTTTCTGGCATACCGTCATAGCTCCATGATTGTTTTCTAGAGTGTTTTTTTTTCCATTTTTACTTTTCCTTTAAAATTAAAACATCTGTTTTTAGAGCATTTACTAAATAGCAAGCCGTTAAACCAGCAGATTCAAGTCTAAATGCCTATTTGATTTTTATGAATGTCAGGCATCCCGTCTTTTGCAGATTCCAAGAACCAATATCTAAACAAGCATCAAGTCACCCCAAAAATACTGTTCTACTAAAAGTTGTTAAAATAATGACTAGTTCATTCCTTGATGATGCTTCATATATAATAACAAGGAAATTCACAAGCAATGACATCTAACAAGTCGCAACCTGACGAAGAAAACTTGCTGGACCAAAGACGAACAGTAGTAGGAGGAGAATAAATTATCATCACCTGGATACACCAGCTGGACGGCACTAGCCAGAAAGATACATCACAGGCTAGGTAGAAAAGGGAAGCCAAGACAAGGGAGGCTGTGCTTACACCCCCTGCGAACCTGGCGGCCCGACCCTCACGAAAGGCCCAGGGTCTCCATCTGGCCGCTCGAGCCTCTCCGACGCTGGTCAGGGGATTTCAAGGGAGAGGCGAGAACAAGCAGTCTCTGCTGACAGGCCCCAAATCCCGGTCCTCAGCGGCCCCCACCCGCCCTTCACTCCCACCCTCAAGTCGGGGCTCCGCAGGCGTAGCGGGCCGCCGTCGCCGCCACAGCCATACTGAGGGGCTGAGGCTCCGAAGAGCAGGCCGGGCACCAGCGCCCCCGCTTGCCTGCCGGCCGCCCCAGCCCAACCACCTTTCAAGGGCGGCCAGCTTCCAGGTGCGGTGCGGCTCAGCACCGAGTGTTCCGCACCGCAGAAAAGGTGGAGAGTTGGTACCTGCGCTTTGGTGCCCGGCCTGTTCCGCCTCAGCACTGCCGTCCCCTCCGCCATGACCATAGTGCCAAAGTCAGGGCCGCTGGAGTCGGTACCCGGATGTAGGGGATGTCTGTCTGAGTGAGGGCGGGGCGGGGCGGAGCTCTGTGTTGGGGCCCGGGGAGGGGGGGTAGCTGACGGAACAGCCGAAGCCAGCGCAGGGCAGGACGGGAAGATAGGGTGGTGTCCCGGAAAGGGCCACCTAGTGGTGGGAGGAGGATTGGGGAAGGAAGAGCCTACGACCTCTGGGCGCTGAGCGTTAGGAAGAGAGAGATGCAATGCGGGGGCGGAGAGCCCGTTTGGGAGAGACAGCCTGCCCGGAGAGGCTACAGGCCCGCGCAGAGGTCTCCTGCGGGAATGTGCAAGGTCTGCGTAACGCATTGGTGCATCTGCTTGGGATTACGTTAGTGAAACTGTTAGAACAGAGCTTGCACAATGGCGACCGTTTCGGTACACCCTTGCGCACGCCAATACCTAGAGAAAGGTAATTCTGTCTCGAAATCTGCCTAGGCATGCAAAATTGGAAAACAGGTCGGCAGTCGGAAAATTCCACACACCCTGCATGAAATCCACCCAATCTTAAATCGCACTAGGGTTTAGAACGTCAAATGATGATTCCACTATCCGCTGACTCAAAAGCCAAGGACCTTTTCATTAACAAATTTGCGTAAATAAAAGACCCAGATGCCAATTATCTGAGAGGCAGTGGGCAATTTGGTTTATGCGTTAGGCAAACAAAATGGCTTATGTTTTTTGTAAGTGAAGAGCAGGAGAAAATGAATGCCCTTGATAGATCACATTGTTTCAAGTTTTAATACTAAGTAATGAAAAACCGCAGTTTTGCCAAACTTTTTTTGTTTCCTGTTTAGAACTTGTTTTGTTTCCTTTAATCTTTTATCTGAGTTAAGGGAAGTCTTAGGATACCAGTTGGGAAAACAGTTCAAAGGGTAAAGTAGAATAACTTCCAAGAGAAGAAAACATCAAATATCCCATCAGATACACCTGAACGAATACTGAGACTGCTGAGAGGAGAGCTATGTCACATCCTCCAAAGGGGGAAGCAGGAGAGGAGAGCCTTGTGAAACTGAGTGGGTGCAAAGGTGAATGATTGTGAGCTAATTGGAACTTTTTGCTCAAAGAAGTTGGACAACAGGAGGTTGGTTTGCCTTTAAGTAAGTCCTTCTTTCTGGACTAAGTTAATTTTCCAGATTGTGTGGTAGTGTCCCTGAGCTGTAAATATCAGTTACCTATAAATTGAAGTGGCTCATCTTAATGTTCATTCTCTTAAATCCAGATTTGTTATACAGTTTCAGTCCATCTGGGAAGAAGAGAAAAAGTGGATAAGTATGCATTAAATTCAGGGATGAAGCAACATTCATTTCTCTGATAAGCACGATAAACTTTCACTGTGATATCTGGCCTTGTTTATAGGAAGAACCTTATTCTTCAGGGCCGAGATGTTTCCAGCTCATAACCTTCACATTTTAACTCCTCTTTCAGTCAGCAGATTATGACCTCCAAACAAAAAGAATTTTATAACCAGAGTTAATTTGGAGTGTGGATGGTGGGGGAGAATAAAAGAAGAAAGAATATGATCAGTAATAACACATATAATAATGGGTTTATTGAATATTTCGGTTAAAGGAGGAGTATTATTTTTAAAGGAAAAATTGGACAAATGGAAATAATTCTGGGTTGGGATTCAGACAATCTGGATTTTCTTGCCTTCTGTTAAGATTTTGAATAAGCTACCACATAAAAGTTTTTTTATTTGTAATGAAAATCGTGCACAGCAGTTCTTTCCCTCTAATTCACAGAGTATGAAAGCAAGTATAAAAATAAATATTCCTGTACATCTCTTTAGTTTTATAAGAAAATAATTTATAAATCCAAAACATCATATAATTTCAAAAATATCTATTCAATATGAAATTCTT